CATTCCAGTGTATGTTACTGGGCTAAAGTTTAATGTGGTGTGTTTAAATATTTGCAACTTAGCTACTGACACCAAACGTTTAGGAAAGAGTTTTAAAGAAGCCTTGGTTAGTATCCACACCTTGCATGTGGATAAATTCATCCCCAGGGTTTAAAATATGTTCGTGGTGGAGCAGACACGGGAAAGTGGACTCCGCCTGCACCGCCAGGGGCACGCCACACAGCAAAGATTTACAGCGGTGTTGTAAAAGGCGCGGCAGGGACCTGGCGCTTCTTCGTTGACGGCACGTCACTACTACAGTAGTATTTACCGTTTTTCTTATATGCCTGTCAACATAAGGTGGTAAAATGAAGATCAAAGCAAACCTGCCTGTTTATTTTCCTTTCAAAGGGTCAGTCTTCCTTTGTGCGGTATTTCTTTGTCCAGCAGCCCATTGGAGGCTCCGCATAAATACTTTAAGATGGCAGAACATGGTGCTTTTATTGACACAGAAGCCATTGGGAAGTGGCACCATTCTGGGACACCCTTCAACTTCAAGAATGGGGATGCCAGCCAGCCAGCTGGGACCCTTTTTGTTCTCCGAGGGTTGTTTGATTCCTCGTCAGCCTGCCCTGGCTTTGTCATTTTCAAACCGTATTAGGATTTTTTTTTATTAAGTTGCATTAAAATGTGGATTTCGAAAACTCCTGCTAGAAGTAAATGGCAGCTTATCTCAGGGAGGTACATTAAATATTTAAAAGATTGCTGGAGTCCAGTCATTTTGAAGACTTAATCATCTCTAATGCAGAAATGTGGAAAAGCATTCTGGCTTTTCTGGGCCCCCCTGACAAGTAATTAACTTATGTGCATCTGGAACTGTAATTTACAGTGCCTGGCCATTCAGTACAGCGGAAATAATTTCTATTTCCAACTATAGTCCTCAGTTAGTACAAATCGGCTCTTTCTCATTTAGTAATGTTTTTGTAAAGCTCACTAGGCTTTTGGAAGGGAAAATCTAGCCATGCTTCTCACGGGGTAAGCAGATTTCTCCGTGCAAGAGGATATTCTTGGATTCACTCATGGGCTATGCTATTTTCCAATTTTGTCGTCACAACTTAAAAGCTTAGGAAGCGTAAACTGGACAGAAGCCTGCAGGTGCACGTGTGCACATGTGTTTAGTCACTTCTGTAACACTTCTGTAAGGTGCATGTGTGCACATGTGTTTAGTCACTTCTGTAACACTTCTGTAAGGTGCATGTGTGCACATGTGTTTAGTCACTTCTGTAACAGCTGCCACTGAGGCCCCGTCATGAGCTGGCTTCCCCGGCCAATCAGCAAGTGTGACCCTGTTCCGTGTTCATCCACCTCAAGGGGTTGGAGCTGGGCCAGAGGAGCCGGCAGCCGGGTAGACAGGCAGACGTGAATTCATCGTGTGCTGAGGGACTGCGGCTGGGGCCGGGGGTGACAGGGCGGGGTGGGAACAGCCACTGTTCAAGGGCCTGTTGCCCGTTTCATTTATACTGGTGAAAAGGACTGTCATCTTCCCCTATGACTGCGGGTACATTTTGTGATTACACTGCAAACATTCTTTTCTCTGCATAAAGCCGATCTAAGTTGTAACATCTGTCCTTCTGCACTAGACAGTGCCTCATTTCTCACAAGTTTGTGCAACGTCTCTATTAATACATTATGTGTTATTTTCACAATGTAAACAAAACAGTCCCAAAACCCAATTGACTCTTGGAAATCTGCACACCAGTTCCCACGGGGACTGAATTCAGGTTCTGTATCTGCAGGTGACATGCAGGGTCAGTTGTACGGCAATGAGCCAAAAACGCTGTGAGGAGCCGAAGATTCCGAGTGCTATTTCTTTTACTTCTGGGCGTGTTTAAATTTAAGACCACACTGTCCCCCTTTGCATACGTGCTTTTGTTTGGGGTCAGTGTATAAAAGGGAGAAGACTGTAAGCCCCGTGCCCCTACAGGGGTCACGCCACAATATTCCTGGAATTAAATAACAGTTAACCCCTCTAAGCATTAAAGACTGGGTTTGAGCATTTATGAAACTAATCTCTGATGTAGTTGTGTATCATAAGTAAACTGAAAAGTACATACTTCATGGGTAGGGGGAAAATCCTCCCTTTATTGTGACTGTTTGATCTTGGATGTTTGCTTCCCGGTGACTGGCTGCGGCTGTGGCTGGGACTCGCCTTGTGGGTGCTGGAGCCAGAATTTACAAGGCTGCAGGATGGGAGCGGCTTGGCTTTCGAGAAGAAGGGCCTGGGGTTGATCTTGACTCAGTGACTTAACCGGCTGTGCGACTTTAACCTCTACAAGCCTCAGTTTCCTGGTTGTAATTGATAAAGGTAACACATCTAATGGACCCAGCACAGCATCTGAAACAAAGTTGAACACATTCCCAGCTGATGGGCCATTATTAAATTCCTTAACTTGACCCCACACTGCCTCATGGGTTGTACGATGGTAGTGACTTTTGTGTCAAGATGGAACCCACGTCCATCTTTCAAAATGTAATTGTGACTACATATGCACATAGGTGTACATATGTGTGTGTGTTGCTAGTGTGAATCCTCACCTGATTCTCCCTGATTCTCTGGAAGTAAATAGGAGAAGGGAACTCAAGTGGCTTTGAAAATAGTTTCATTTCACAAATATATGTGTGTATAATATTGGCCTCTGTTTATTGTTCATCTGATTAAAGAAAAATAGTAAATTTAAAAACCACATTTAATTCAGAAAAAAAGGCTGAGTTAACCAAACAGAGAATTATGGAAGGACGTCAACCAACTGGTAGCCACTGCTTATTTCTTGAACAGTAAGATCTGGAATATGTGAGTCACGGAGCCTCCCTCTCCTTCCCTCTCCACATCTTGCCTTTTCTGTAGAAGCTGGAGCGTGGGCTCTAGGATTCTAAACTGTGTGGGCCAAGTACCTGTCCTCAGGAGAAGCCCTGGACTGGGAGGAAGGAGATCTGAACCTTCACTGTAGACCTGCTGCCAACTAACATTGACCTGGGCAAGAATTTTACATCTTGGGCCTCTGTTTCCTTACATGTAAAATAATACCAATTCGGAAGCTTTCTCACACCATCCAGCTCTAAAACTCCATTCTACTTCCCTGCAGATCTCTATCTCGTGCATTAACGTGACTTTGAATGAACTCCATGTCTGAAATGCCCTGCATTTCTCCAAGCCACGGATCTAAACGCATGTTAACTTAATGAAATGCCCAGCCTTTGGAGGGAAAGAATTATTATTTTTTCTTTTAAGTATGTATTTGCTAACCATTTAGTACATGGGCAGCATGGGGCTTGGCAATATGAGTACTAGATAAAAAATAGAAGTATTCCTAGAAGGAGCTGATAGCAGACCCGGGAACACCTTGAAAATAATTACAGAGTGAAAATGTACTCATTGCAACAGATGTGTAATAAACTATCGTAAAGGAGCTGATATTGTCACTAAGTACGTCTCACAGCTGGTACTGTTCTCATTTAACCCTCGCTCCTAATCTGAGAAGGTGAATGATGGCATCACCCCCAAATTACAGAGGAAACGAGGTTCCAAGAGGAAAGTGAGTTGTTCGCAGTTACTCTTTCAAGCAAAGGACTTAGGGAGGATGTTTTACATGCCCGGAGTCCTGAAGTAAGAGAGTGGTTTGGGCTTGAAAGAATCGCTTTGGACTTTCTAAGCAGACTTGAATTTGATTAAAAGGCAAAAGGAAAAAAAGGCAACAAAAATGATTTTCTGAATTTGTCAGTTAGAATCTTCTCATGTCTTTTATTGTCAATTTATCTTTTCATACACAGCATAAATTTCATACAGGCAGCTTAGCAATGAAGAGTTCTAAAGTGAGAAAGCTTTTATTTCAGAAGAAAACTATAATCACATGATTCTGTGCTTTGGAGAAAACAGTCCCCCCCCAAAAGGGCTTGAATTGGGTCAAGTGTTGAGGATGGCTCAGCACTGCCCGGAGTGACTTCCCCAAAGCAGCGGGGCCTGGGGGTGTTTGTTCTCCCTTTGGAGAACAGTAGTGTCTCATTGGTGCCTGCTTGCCTCATAGGAGGGGTGTTCTAACTTGTGATCTCTGAGAGCGGCACAGTCCTTCCCCTTTCTGCCTTCACTGGGGGGCGGGTGTGTCTCAGGTGCATGACCGTGCTCGCCCTCAGGACAGGTGTGACCAGACCTGTGTTTGTGGACTCTGGGATTGTAAGAATGTCGGGAAAGTTGGGGTGTGTCACTGAGTCTGAAGTGGGCTCTGGGGGTACCAGCTTGCCTTCCTTCATCCAGCGACTTGCAAACATTGTTAGCACAGAAAATCTGGCCCCTACAAGAAGGAAAAGCCTTCTTGCCTTGAGCCTCTTTCTCTCTCCTGGGGGGTCTGCTGCTGCTTGTGCAAACAAAACGACGTTTCTCCTCCCATCCTGCTGCTCCCGCTGCCAAGGGGAAGAGGGAGCTGCCCAGCAGACCGGCTGCCTCGCCTCACGCGGTCACTCCTCTGCTGGTGAGTTCCCCAGAGCAGCATCCGGCAGCCACCGCTTCTCTTCTCGGCAGAAGCCAGGGGGACATGGAGCCGCTCCCAGCTCTCCTTGATTAGGATATGTCAGGGTTGTCAGGGCAACTGCTAATGGCAGCGGATCATATTTTCCCCTCTGTGCTGTGTGCTGAGTATTTTGCTGTGCGGTAGCAGGAAGAGGATTGGGGGAAAGTGCTGCAGCAGGAGGGAGAAGCTGGGATCCGACTGAACAGGTTAGGCAGTAGACGGAGTCACCTGAACCTGCTTGTCCTTAATAGGGCTTTTCTGCAAGGGGTGTGTGTGTGTACGTGTGTGTATGTGTGAGAGAGAGAGTGAAAAAGAGAGAGCTAGAGCCTGCACATGTGTCTGTGGAGAGTAAGTGGGAGGGGGCTTCTTGGGGAGGGGGCTGCTGCTAGGTGAGGGGGAACGGCAGGGCCTCAGTTGCCAAGTGGCTGGTAGTATCTGTCAGCTGTCTGCACACTGTTTACCCATAGGGGATCTATTACAAGTGCTCAAATGAACCGGCAGCTTAGAGACTAGCGGCTTCCTGGGAGCTGCAATTACATAAGCATATATATTTAATACAATAATAATTAAAAACGAGTAGCAGCGGTATGCCTGGATCAGCTACAGCTCTCCGACCAGAGAGACTGAAGAAGACCAATGCAAGGCCAATTCCCCTTGGTTTATTCACCATTAATGAGGAAGATGAACAGCAAAAGAATGGAAATTCCAGAAGACCGAAAGGTATGCATTAGCTCTCCCCTCTGGTGAGAGCCAGCCCACTTTCCCACGCCGCTCACAGCACATTTCACAAACTGTGCTCCCGGTGCCTGCTGCATGGAGTGCCCTCGACCTCCTGGCACCGTTGGATGGTGGTGTTTACACACTCCGGGGCTGCGTGTGCATGAACTCGGAAGAGGTTTTGCAGATTTGGGAGCTTTGAGGTCCGCTGCATTTCTGACCTAAGCTACTTTCTTGACCTAGAGAGCTTTAATTTTCACACACTCACTTAAATAGCTGCAGTGCTCTGCAGCAGGAGGGGACATGAGCCATCAAGGTTTAAATGTACCTCTCCCCACCTTCTTAGGTACATCAGGTGATTTCTGTTTAATGAGGTGAGTTGCTCCTTGAAAGGGGTGAGTTAGGTAAAGTGGCCAAAGACTGCAGCCTCTCCCTGGGCAGAGGGTCAAGATGTTACTCCATTTCCACTCGGAATTGCCGAGAGTGTGGAAAGGAGGAAAACAAACAATGAGTATGAATGTAAAGGGCAAAGCTGCAGAACAGGGCGGGGGCCATGAGGTTTTATCACTTCTGATAACTCTGCCACTGAACATCACAGAGAGGTTAAAATGTGCTGGGTCCAGAAAAGGGGTCTGCTTCTGGGGCTGTTCTTTCATAATGACGAGACGGGGCAGCAGCTTGCCTGGCTTCTCCAGTCCTGGGTACTGCATCATCTTCAGCTTCGTCTCACACCCACCCAAGCAGTAATGGTTAGAGACAGCAACATCGTGCATTTTTGAAGAAGGGCTCAAAGGCTTGCATTTTAAGTTTTCCAGTATCCGGATGCTTGCATGAAGTTTGCAGGTTATGTCTTGTTGTTTCCATGTGTTGATTACATTGTAGCTCACATTCAGATTTTTCCGTCACTTAGATACCAGCTTTCTCTCTGTAAGGTGCCGAGCAGCACCGTGGCAGGGGGGCAAGCAAACATTTAAAGTGATGATAGAATGAGTGTTTGAATAGAATCCAGTGTCTGAAAGCCAGTGGACTACTGGCTTTGTTTTTCCTGGTTCTTGACAGAAACTTAGTTTGCTTTTATTAAATAGAATTGAAACGTGTACTTTAAATCCAAAAGTATATTTTTGCATCCTTTAAAAAAAGAATGTATACTGGGCAGTTTTCATATGTAGAACCCTAGCACTGCAGTTGATCTTTGCTTTACTATCAGACATGGCTTCGATCTGAGGACCAAATGACCTCAGGATTCTAGCGATGCTGTGAAAGGAAGGTGACTTAGCTGACTCTTTTACTTGTGCGTGAATTAAGACAGTTGAACCAGAGGGTGCTCTTGATGAAAATGCACTGCTTGAAATTGTTACTAGCAAACCATTTGACCTCTTGACACAGGACTGTTCAAGTGCAAGTCCAGTTCTGTCCACCAGTAGAACGACGATGGGGACATTGTGTGCAGGCACTCACTGTTCAGTACGGAACCACTCGCTGAATATGGCTAGGAGCACTTGAGATATGGCTACTGCAACTGGAAAAGCGATTTAGAGATTTTGATTTTAGTTTATTTAAACTTTAGCCACATGTGGCTAGTGGCTACCTTATTGGACAACACAGTTCTAGTCTACAGAGCTGTGACCTTCTGAATTTGCCTCTTCTCTGTTATGTCCATCCTTAATTGCTTCCTGGTGCCAGATACACTCATTCTTGGAGTCTTGGAATGAATGTGCTTATTAGGAAGGGCTCCATAGTGCATGGCCCCTTCCCAGCCAGCGAGTACAGTAACCTGGATTGAGGGACATTCTCCTTCCCATCCTCCTTTCCTTCCTTCATTTCTTTCTTTCTTTCTTTCTTTGAGACAATTTCATTTTCTTTCCTACTTAAATGTTATCACCTGCTCTCAGTGTTATTCTTACAGTCACTAGTTGCCGGTACCATCTTTGACAACTTGTAATACACTTCTCTTTTTTAATTTATTATTTCCAAAGCATCATAACAAGATGACATACAGGTTCTCTTTCAGGTGTGACTGTTGAGAAACTTTGTTTCCTTTTCTGCCCACTCTGCCGTCTAATCAGCCAACCACATCCAAATCTGGTTGCTACACTGAGTATTTGTGTTCTGTCATTACCAGGAATAAAGGTGCTTGCTATGTAAATTCAATAAGGTAAATGCCCAGTCCAGGATTACCCGAGTTAATAACAAGTAGCATCTCTTTAGGGGCTCTCCTGTTGGGTAGCCATCATAATGAACCCAGTAGGAATGAGTATGTCAATTGCCATCTGAACTTCCAGTGGCAGCTTTAAAATTACCTGGCAGAGTGAGACAGTAGTTTGGTTAGCTGGTAGACGGATCAATTATTGAAGGACAGATTTCTCTCCCGTGTAATCAATAGAAGTGTAAATGTTTTATGTGCCTTGCCATTACTGACTGTGACATTTAGATAGAAATTGAGAGCTGGGCTTTCTGCCGTTGCTGTTGTGCCTCAGATCTGAAGCCTAGACTACTGCGGACCTAGGAATGGCTTAGGAGAGACTGTCTGCAGGCTGCAGTGCCTAAATCCCCTTGGATACATCTCCAGACAAACCTGGAGATGCGGATGGAGAATTTTGCTGAATGCAGTGTGATTATTAAGTAATGACATTTCCTCCCTAAACCAGCATTTGTTAAACGCTCGCTCTGCAGATTACTCCGCTGGGACGTTGTGAGAGCGATGCAGCGATCACTGACGTGGCTTCTGCTTTTGGAAGTGCTTCGCTGTCTAGTGGAGGAAGACGAGTCTGTACAAATAATGCAAGAATATAAGTGAAATCATGGGCTGGGCTGACAGTGCAATGAAGTTACCTGTGCACACGCCTGTGCCCTTCTCTGGCCTGTAAGCTTCTTAGGGACCAGGACTGCTCCTCTTTCTAAGTACCTTGCAGAGTGCATGCAGCATTATTGAATGTAGGTAAACTCAACATTCAAATACAGTTTTCGCAGGCTGGGAAGGTCTTTCTAACACAGGGATTCTAAGAAATGTTGACAGTGTTAGATTTGTCCTTTCAAGGTCACTGCTTTGAAAGGGACAGTACTGTTGGTGGTGTCTGACACGTTAGTACTATTACTCTCGGCCACACTGCATTCGTGTCTGATAGCATCTCAGGGAATCTGCTGGGCTCTGTTGTTTTCCATCACACTGTGCATCATTTTCTGTGGCCTAAACATGAAGGTACCTGTTTACAAGGTGTTATTAACTGACTACTGGACTATCTGGGATAATGCCTTTTGTCTTTTGACTAGCTCCTTGCCGGTTACATCGTAAAGGAATAAACTTTCTCCTTGAAATCAGGACACATTACTGCTGAGAAACTGGGTTCTTCTTCTCCCCACCCCCCCCCCTTTTGGTTAAAATGTGTGTTTATGGAGCCTGCAGTCGCTTCTCGTCTTTTGGCTTGTCTGCAGCAAAGGTAGAATTTCTGCCAGTTAAAGTGTCCAAATGAAATATAATCTACCGCTTACCATTTATATTCCCATTGGATAGGTGATGATCCAGCGACTGACGTGTGCTTTGTAAATCATGAGACTTTTTCTTTTCAAAGAAAATGAGTGTTATGTCGAGAAGTTTGAATGCCACTTGAGAGTCATTGCCAAACGTTTCCTTGTTTCTTTTCCTCTCTTGCTCTGTGGGACTTGGACCATAGTCAGTTCCCAGTGTCCTTATTTGTGCCGTTTCAGGATGAGGCAAAAGGTTTTAGCAGTAGAATTTTACAGCTAATGAGGCAAAAGGATCGTTTAGAAGAAAACAATATCCAAGATCCCTATTATGAAGAGGAAATCTTAAAGTCAAATTGATTGGTGCAATCTTGTATTTGCTAAAGAGACCCTTTAGCAAATAAACAAAACATATAATGTTTTATTCATTTATATATTCACTTATATAAAAGTGATAAGAATAGGGATGTCAGGAACATGGACCGTAGTATCTAATGTATGGCTTGTTCTCAGTGGATTCTCTATAAATATCTATGGCGTGAGTATAACTGTCTCTCAGGCATCTGTGTTGTAGAAGTTACCATATGTATCACTGTAGACAAGGTGAACATGACTTCACTTTTACGTGAATAAATTTTTTGTATAGTTAGATACTCAATATCGGATTACCCAAAAAGTCCCTTATGTTTTTTCTATAACATAAAAGACACATTTTTAATTTTTACCAATAAACTATATTGATTTGGATGTTTAGAGCATGTTAGCTATATCCTGCTATTGGCTTCTAGTTGGTAGAGGCCAGAGGTGCTGCTAAACATCGTCCAATGCGTAAGACAGCCCCACAGCAAAGAATTATTTGGCCAAAATGTCAATAGTACCAAGAAACTTCACAAACCACTTTTGACACATTCTGTCAGTTACAGCACCTTCTCCATACACAGTACAAATCTTTTTTTGAGTTTCAGTTGCATTTTTACTTTCTTGAAATAATAAAGCATAATACACCTAAAGTGTTGTATATTTTCTTCCATCTTCAGTGGCTGCCCCCAAATTCACCAATTTTGATAAGTTTTTAAAAATGCATGTCAATACAACAGCTGTTACAGTACAATCTAACAAAATTGCTTTGAATGAAGTTGAAGACAACTGAGCACTGCTAGAGCCATCGAATGGAAAAAGTTATGGACTCTGTGGCCAACCTAATATAATGGAATTTGCTTACTGTGTACAACTAGAAGACTTACACATCGTGTGCCGGTTTTAAAAGCTGTAATTGATGGGACTAACGACGTAACTGACCATTCCAGCCATAGGACACAGGCACAAGTGTTTGCTGAGAATCTCCCAGCTCATAGAGCTCAGGCGTTATTTTTGGAAGGTTAAACTGAGTATCCATTTCCACTAACATCAGCATGTGTCCAGGAGCAACTTTAAATTTAATTCATTGATCTCACCTATCTAATCAACAAAAAAAAACAAGTGAGTAAAATAGAACCAGAGACATGGAAATAAAGAACAAACTGAGAGTGACCAGAGGGGAG